CTGGGGAAAGGATAGTCTCTTCAATAAATGGTACTGGAAAAACTGGATATCCATATGCAGATGAATGACATCTCACCCTATACAAAAATCAACTCAAAATGAAGCAAAGACCTAAATGTAAGATCTGAAACTATAAAACTACGAAGAGAAAAAACAGGGGAAACACTTCAAGACAATGGTCTGGGAAAAGATTTTATGAATGAGACCTCAAAAGCACAGGCAACAAAAGCAAAATAAACAAATGAGATTATATCAAACCAAAGACCTTCTGCACAGCATAGGTAATAATCAAGAGTGAAAAGATAACCTATAGAATTGGAGACAATATTTGCAAACTACTCATCTGACAGGGAATTAATATCCAGAATACACAAGAAACTCAAACTACTATCAGAAAATCAACAGCAAAAAACCAATCAATCTGATTTACAAAGTGAGCAAATGATCTGAACAGACATTTCCCAAAAGAAGACATATAAATGGCCAGCAAATAGACAAAAAATGCTCAACATCACTAATCAGCAGGAAAATGCAAATCAAATCCACAATGAGTTATCATTACACCCTAGTTAAGATGACTATTATCGAAAACACACAAAGTAAATGCTGGAGAAGATGCAGAGAAAAGGGAACCCTTGTACACCACTGGTGGGAATGTAAACTTGTACAGCCACTATGGAGAACTGTATAAAGGTTCCTCAAAAAACGAAAATAGAACTACAATATGAGTCAGCAATCCTACTACTGGGCATTTATTCAAAGAAAAGAAAGTCAGCATATCGAAGAGACATCCTGCCATGTATATTGCAGCACTATTCACAATAGCCAATATATGGAATCAATCTTAGTGTCCAACAACAGATGAATGGATAAGGAAAACACGGTGTGTGTGTGTGTGTGTGTGTCCCCGCATATGAATAAAAAAGTTGATCTCATAGAAGTGAAAAGTAAAACAGAGGGTACTAGAGACTGGAAGGACGGGGAGAACAGGGGATAGGGAGAGATTTGTTAAAGAATAAAAAATTACAGCTAGATAGAATGAATAAGTTCTAGTGCTCTATACTAGTGCAGGATGAGTATAGTTAACAATAATGTACTACATAGTTTGAAATAGCTAGAAGGGGGATATTTAATGTTCCCAACCCAAGGAAATGCTCAATGTTTGAGATGATAGATATGCTAGTTACTCTTATCGGACTATTATATATTATGTGTATCAAAATATCACTACGTACCCCATGCATACATACAATTATTACTTGTCAATTGAAAATAAAATTAAAATAAAATTTTAAAAACCTGATTGCATAATTAATTTATAACCAGCATGCAAATTACTGACTATCATTGGGGGAAAAAAAGTGCAGATGAAATTTTTAAATTTTCTTCGAAATAAGTTCTGCTGAATTTCAAATATTTTCTTTGAATAATCATTTTTGACAGATATTCAAGTTAATGTTAGCAAGGTAATGAAAATTAATGATGTTAATGTCCACTGGGCTATGTCTATGCAGGTGTTTCCCTACACTGTTGCCACCCCAACATAAAAATGTCTGATATATAAAATTCTGAACTTACACATAACACATTAGGAGTGATTATTTTCATTCCTCCTAAAACCCACAGAATTTCTTCACATAATTAGCCCTTATGAGTTTTTGACATATAATTTGATTTTTACAAACGTATTAGGTAATACAAATTTTTAAGTATATACTTATTGTGAAAATTGAGTAGACACTATGAGAGGCATAGTTTCCAATCCTCCATAACACAGTTGTGAAATCAGAACTTATCCCAGAGGGTCTTTGAATGTTACCCCATACCAAGCCAAGCCATCTAATACCCAGAACTGTACTGAAAACATCATTTTCATAGTTAATTAACATGGACGTTTACATCTTTCTTTCTCTGTCTCTCATTCTCTTTTCATCTATTTCCCAGCATGGGGAAGATTAAAAGTGGCAAACTAGAGGGATGGTGGAATGTTAGAAGCAAGCAGAAAGACAACTAGCAGGTAAGGTGACATTAGGAAAGAGACAGAAAAACAACCAAAATCTAACACACTAATCTACTAATATGCCATACATTAATGGGTACTTGTAATAATGTTTACTGAGCCATCCCAACTAAATTAACTTGCATTTAACATATACTAACGTATCACATTTTATTCTTTAAAGATGGCCACAATAATAACTTCTGACTATATGCTCTTCTATAAAGAGATCTTGTCACTTTCCCATACATGGGTGGAGTCTAAGTCCCATCACCTCAAATTTGCATTGATGAACAGAATATGGTGAAAGTGAGGCTGTGTGACTTCTGAGGCTGGGTCATAAAAATTGATACAGCTTTTGTCTTGCTCACTGAAATACCTATGCTGGAGCCTTGAGCCACCACACAAGAAGTTTAACTACCTTGAGGTCACCATGCTAGGGAGGCCAAATATAGGTAGGTGTTCCAGTTGATAGCCAAAGATGAGCTCCCATCTTAGATGTCCAGCCCAGTAGAGTCATCAGATGACTGCAACCCCAACAGACATCTGACTGCAACCACGGGAGAGTGCTCTAACATGAGCTGCCTAGCTGAGTGCAGTTAGTTAACCAACAGGACCATGAGAGACAATACTAAATTGCTGGTTTAAGCCATTAACTTTTGGGTTGATTTGTTCTGCAGCAATGGTAAATGGAACAACTTATTTTTAAAAAAGTGCTATGTCTATAGTTCAACCACAATTCAAAACTTACTCCCGAGTATGTTTTTTGTGCTAGGAATGTGATAGGTAGGTGCTTCAAATAAATTATATTATTTAATAATCAAACAACTTTTTTTGAGTAATATCTTCATTTAGTGAAAAAGGAAACGTAAAATACTTTTTAAAAGCTCTTTTCTGGCCAGATGCGGTGGCTCATGGCTGTAATTCCAACACTTTGGGAGGCCGAGGCGGGTGGATTGCTTGAGTCCAGGAGTTCAAGACCAGGCCTGGGCAACATGGAGAGACCCTGTCTCTACTAAAAATAAAAAAATAGCCAGGCATGGTGGTGTGCACCTGTGGTCTCAGCTACCTGAGAGGCTGAGACACCTGAACCTGGGGGTGGGAGTGATGGGGGATGGGGGAGGAGGAGGTCGCAGTGAGCCGAGATTGAGCCACTGCACTCCAGCCTGGGTAGTAGAGTGAGACCGTGTCTTGAAAAAAAAAAAAAACGCTTTATTGCATGCAACTACTTCTTGTGTTATGAATGCAATGTGTTATTTATTCTTTAAGGATAATAACTCCATTTTATTTCAAGAATATAATATAGCTATCTTCAGAATATTAGAATATTACATTATGTTTATTTAATTAAAGACTTTTTCTCTCTCTCTTCAGAATCTCCCTGTTACGTAGTTCTTCTCACCCTTGGACCATTATTAGGTGATTATTGGTTGTTGGTTCATATTTTAAACAAGGATCAACAATAGAGGTTCCCACTAAGAATGGTATTACACCTAGGGGGCATTTTTGGAAATTTGTGAGGCATTATCTATTGTCACAGGGTTTGGGGATATTTTTGGCATTTAGTGAAAGGGTACTAGGAATGCTGAACATCCTATCATTATAGGATGCACCCAACAGTCCTGTGCAACACAGAATTGTTCTGTGTCCTGTATAATGTTTAAATGCCCTACTAGAGATTTATGGTGGTAAAACATCTATTTTTAATTATTCAAATCTGGAACAAAATTCCATTTTTAGATAAACCCCAAATATTTTTGCATAGTTTTAATATACATTACATTTCCTAGGCTTGTACCTAGTGTATAAATTGATGGAAGATTTTACTTTCTTCTCTTCAGAACTTTACCATTGGTCACCATTTTGGACAATCATTTGAACATTACTAATGACAATCTGCTCATGCTATTTAAAATGACAATACAGTGTTTCTGTATCAGTCTACATTCATGGTTGCCACATTTATGGTGATTCTCTGTTTAGGTGCAGGCATCTGATGACTACATTATATATCCTAGTATAGTTGTACTAAAGCATTTACATATTGAAATATATATCATTTTTATTATAAATCACCTCCCTCTTATTTCTCCTCTATAGTACATTAGCATGCCATTGATTTTTATAAATTATAGGTATAGTTAGGTAAATTATAATTTTCATTGCAGGAAAATAAAGGGTATGTAAGAAATAGTTAGAAAAAGGGAGTTGAAATTCATAAAGAGGCAAAAGTGTCTGGAGAGACACAAAGACACAGATAAAGAGGAAAATGTCCAATCATTTGTGTTTTCCCCAAGGATCTCTCTGTCTGTTGGGATGATGGAAGTTACTTAGAGCATTGCCTTACTTCTCTTTCTAGCCCAGTGCTGACTCTAGAGGTATCTAGTGACAGGTCATGTAGCTCCTTTAGAGAGGTATTCTCCTGGCCCTAGCATAGGAGGATATGCCTGAGCCAGCAGCTCTGAAGACTAGGGAACTGGTTCAGCTATTCCAAGACAGTTAATTAACTACCTTGCTGACTGCCCCAGAGTCTGTTTCCAGTATTCACAGTCTGTGATCCCGGGGTTTTTTCCATGGTTCTGCTTAACTCATTGAGCAGTTTTGTCTGTTATATTTGAGTTTTGGGGTCTTTTGCTCAGTTGGACTGTACGTTTAATCTTACTCTATCTGTGGTATATTATTATTTAACAACAAGTTCCTCAATGCTGATTCCACTCCTCCAGTTTCCAGTGCTGCTGCCGATTGATTTTTACATTTATTCTTCCATTTCAAAGAAACTTTGGGTGGAAGTAGATGTAAAAGCATGTCTTAATTAGAGCTCCATTCTGAGTCTTTACATAAAGGAAATATTCTCCTCCTATGATCTTGGTAGATCAAGATTTTTATTGATTAGGTATCAATTTTGCTGTAGGCAAGCCACTATAATGCAATTCAACTGTCTGACTTCAGTTTTTTGTTAAATAAATTATTTTTTAAAAGTGAAAAAATGCAGACAACTTACAATCCATATCAAGTAAGGCACGAACAGATTTAACAAGTTCCTTAGACTCAAGCGCCAGCGTTGCTGGGATGTTACGTCCATTCCTTCCCAGTGGTGTGAGGGAAGTCTGAGAAGCTAACACAGCTCTTCTTTCACTATAAAGGCAGTAAAATAAAGTTGAACTCACTACACAATAAATGACATCTATCTTTACTAAATCTGAAGTTGTATTAGTTATAGATTTGTACAAAAATATTTCTATTTCTGAGGAAATTATTTCACATAACCAAAATTGAAGTAATTCACACAAAACAATATTTCTGTCTTCAATTATTTACTACATAATAAGTAGAAATATTTTAAAATTAGGTTGACTTCATGTATGAGAAAGAAGTAATAGAAGGATGACCTGTCTCCTAAATCATTTGTTGGGCTGATTTTGTGAGTGCTTCTGTTTTGCTAATATGATATAATTTTATTTAGTTCCATATAAATTCAAAATAAGCACATAAACATGACTTTATTAAAATACATTTATTATTACTTCTAGTAATATTAAATATAAATTCAATATATGTATTTGCTCCTGAAATTATCTCTTAAACTATTCCATTTCTTGCCTCGAATCAAAAACAGCCTAGAGCATTTATATCACTTCTAAGAAATGCAAATGTCACCTAAAATGAATGCATTCTGATCTAATTAAAAATCAAATGTTTTCCTCAAAAAAACCACTAAAACTTACTTGAAAAAAAAAATTTTAAACTGATGACAAAATTGTCATTATTTATAGTCCATCTTCCTAAGCATAATGATATTAATTCACAAAGGGAAACAAAAGCATCAATTCTCAAATTCAAATACATAGCCTTTATTCTGTGTTGAATGACCAAGGCCAATATCCATGTAGAAGATATGCTATATTGAAATGACTGCACCAGATTTTACTAGTGTTTAATTTACTAAGACATCATGAAATGTTGCTTGATGTAGCTATTTAAAGTCATCTTTTTTTCCATGAAGCAGTTTAAGGCAAGGGCAGGCTCTGGCTTTCACATAGCCATTTTAACCTTAATTTTTAAAACAAAACTTTTGAATTATTAGTCAAGGTAAAACTAAGACCTTGGAAAGCTGAGGGTGGGTGACACACTTAACCCATATAAGAAATAAATGAGATTACTGATTATTTTAAGATCCTTACTGAGAGTAAAAATCATGAAATTCACAGAGTTTTCTTGTATCATAAGCAGCATGGAGAGTAAGAAGACATGTCAGATCCCTTCATCATAAGAAGCAAAACATTACACTAAAATGAGTTTAGAAGTGAATTATAAATATTCTTCTAAATTAAAAAATGCTATGCGGACCAAAATATCTTCATTTATTAAGCTGCTGTTATCACAGTAAAGGGTAGAGTATTTATTTATTTTCTGAGGCAGGGTGTCACTATGTTATCCCAGCTGGAGTGCAGTGGTATGATCACAGCTCATTGCAGCCTCAATATCCTGGAGCTCCTGGGCTCCAACAATCCTCCTATCTCAGCCTCCCAAGTAGCCAGGAATATAGGAATGTGCCATCACATCTGGCTATTTTTTTTTTTGTAGAGATGGGGCCCCACTATGTACCACTATGTTGCTTGTCTCAAACTCCTGGGCTCAAGTGATCCTCCTGCCTCAGACTCCCAAAATACTCGGATTACAGGCATGCGCCACCACACCTGACCTCATTGAGTCTACCTGTTTCTGCAAGCGTATATTGCTAGAAGTAGAAGATGTATCTAGGACTAGTGGCAGCTATTATGAGATCAGAAAAAAATTACTTTGGAAATGCATAAACAAGAATCTTTCTTTTATAAATGTCTTTCATCATGTATCAAAATGACCATAAACTTGTGGTTTGAAATAAATAAATTTGATTGGTATGTTTGCAGCTTCTAGTAAGAAACTTTAAATCCAAAACGTATTATGAATAATGACACAATACAGGTATACTCTCCAAATATATTTCTTTTGTTTATATTTACTGAGAGATGAAAATGAAAATGAAAGAAAATGATTGCATGAATATGTTTTCCAAAATTCTGTTTGCCAGAACAACTAGTCTGCTGTGTTGAGTCTAACCTTTAGTAGTGAACCTGTGACCAGTAACTTTTATTCATATGCAGGACAATTAAAGAATTTCAAGTTAATCTCATCTTTATAGAATTTTTGACAAAGACAGGATAGGTGGTTCCTACCACAATTTTAGATTACAAGGTTACAATGATTGACTAAATACCTCCAGGAATTTCTTTAATAGAGATGGGACCCAAAACAACATGTCCTTGCACCTATTTCCATATGATGGCATTCAATGGGAGTTATGCAGCATCTTAGGACTATTGAAGAGATTTTTACTATTTGAGTCACAATGACCAGATGAAGAATTTAATCACTACCCATATTCTGCAAAAAGCACTTAAATTTTCTTACCTTAAATTTGATAAAGGAGTAGAATTATCAGAAAATACTTCTTGAATTGCCTAGCAACAAACAAGATGGTGAAGGAGATATATAAGTTTGAAAGTTTTTAAAAAAGATCTTTTCTTGATTAATATTTACAACCTCCTCTGTCCACGGATTAAACTGATGTTTCTATTACATGGGGGTGGGGGAAACAATTGAACTAACATGCAATTTTACTCAGAAATATAACAGCTATAAAACATTTCTTTATAGGGTAAATAGCTATCAAATAATGTTTATACATTATCAGGATTTTTATTAAACTATTCATTAATACAGTATATATTTGGAATCACATTACCTTGTGTCAACTATTTCTCTAAACAATCTATAAAATGTGAGCCAATCTTTTCAACATCTATGCAGTTCTAAATCTGATCATAAGTCAGCATTGCTGCTTTGAGACTAGAGAATGTTTCACTAGGTACCAAATACAGTAACATTTATCTATATGCCAGTTGCCTATATATTTTTTAAAGATGAACGTAATAGAACAGAAAAACTTGCCTCTATAAAATGAAGAAGCTTTTCAGTAGATGCCTCAAAAGTTTTTCGAGCCATTTCTGATTTTCGTAATTGGCAGTCAAGTACCATGATTCTCTTTTTTAAATCCTGAACACTTTCCTGCACAGAGATATCAAAAGGAACATTTACACATTTCTTCATTTTTATATTACTGATCCCTATTATTCAATATTACAAAATTATTTTTTCTCTTACTGTACATATATTTTGATTTGGGGAGCATGAAATTAACTGCATATTTAAAAGTTAATTTGAATGGAGATGCTGCAAGTTTTATGAGATAAGCTGTATATGAGTTTATTGATTCTTATAGTAAAATACATTTAAATTAGTTTATGGGTTTTTCTTTTTTTTTGCAATGTGTCTTATCAGATGCTGACAGAAACCTCTACCAATTTAACACAACTAAAAATGCTGGATACACACACACACACACACACACACACACACACGAAGTAAGACAAAGCTAGCAAGGACGTAAAGGAATTCCATGGAGACATGCAACAGCAATGCCAAGTGAACCCACTGGGGTAAGACAGCACTGAAGCATAATTTGCTTAGAGGGTATATGCTGATCCCTGGTGGCCTACAGTTTGGGGTCTCAACAGTCACAAATGGAAAACAGAAGAACTTTAATGGGAACGAGGAAGTAGTAAACTTCACAGAGGTAAACAGTGTTTTGATGATGGCTCAGGTGACTTGAGTAAAAAAGTTTCTCCAGAATAATTCCTAACCAAAGTCCCCACTCACGCAGGTTTGGGGCCAGAACTTACATTATCTGTGTGGCCTAAAAAGCCATATGCCGAAATTTTGGTTTAAATTGGTCCCAGGCTAGGAGAAGCAAACACAAAACTCTGGAGAGAGATTTCTAAAACTTGGAGCTCAAAGAATTCCCATTTATAATGCATTGATAGATGACCTCACAGACACAAGCAAAAATCACTAAACATATGAGAAAATAAGCTCTATGAATGAAAACTAACTGAAGGAAATAAAGTACAGTATCAGATCTATAAAGACAGCAGATATTTAAGTGAGCAGATACAGAATATAAAGCAATTATGTTTAATATGTTTTTAAAAATAAGAGGGAATTGAAAGTATAATACACAAGAAACTACTGAAATAGATCCAGATAACATAAAAAAAAAATCTCAAAAATAAAAATGTAACATAACTACATTAGAAACTTTATTTAGAGATTTGACATCCAATTAGATACAACTGTAAAGAGAATGGGTGAACTTGACCACAGAGGTAAAGAAACTTCTCATAATGGAACAGAAAGACAAAAATTGAAATATAAATGGGGAGAAAAGGTAAAGAGAAAACAGCCAGAAGAAGCTATAGCACACATCCAATCTGAATTACATAAGAACAAATACAAAGAATGAAAGAGAAATCAGTCAGGATAATAGCTTAGTGATTTCCAGAAATGGCAGAAGACATTGCTCTTCGAATTGGGAAGCTCAATGAATCCCAAACAGTACACATTAAAGTAAGTCAACACATGATTCATCATAGTCAAACTGCTGAACACTGAAGCCAAAGAGATCTTAAAATCATATAGAAGGAAACAGATTGCAAACAAATGACAGATTGACAGCTGACATCACAGACATGAAATAAAAACAGTGAAAGATATTAAATGCCAACTTAACATTCTAAATGTAGCAAAAATATATTTCAAGAACAAGAGTTGAATAAAGATGTTCTTCAGACAAATAAAATGTGGAGAGCTTTTATCATCAGATTCTTACTACATGAATTTCTAAAATACATACTCATGAAGAAAGCAACAAAGTGAGAAGGTCTGAGATGTAAGAACGTTTAACAGAAAATGTTAAACATGGAGTCTATTAAGCAAATGCTGACCACACAAAACAAATAATGTCTAATCTGTGGTCTTAAAAGAAAAGAAAGAACTAAAATACTGCCAAAAATGGAAATTAAGTCAGGAGGGATGATTGGATTTGTGTTCTAAAGTGCTTATAATATTTAGAAGAAGAGAAAAAAGGTACTGATTAATTTTATAATTGAAGTTAAATTAGAATGTTAAAATTTCTAGGATAATCATTAAAAATTAGAAACAGAATGTAACTTTGAAAACAACAGAGAGGAATGAATGTAATGGGGCAAGGTGACATAGGAGAAATCTGAACCAATAAAAAAAATTAGAAAAGGCAGGAAATTACAAACTAGAGCACATGGGGAAAATAAAATGTACAAAATAAGAGGGCAGAAATCAGGCCAAGTGCATGAGCAAATAAAAGAGTGTAGATAGGAAGGTCTTTCCAATTAAAGGTCAAAAACTAGTAAGATGGGAAAAAAATCCAGCTACATGTTATTTACTATAGATACAATTAAAATGTATTGAAAAGTTGAAAGTAAATGTATGGTATTTAGACAAATACTAACTAAAAGAAAGCTGGTGTTACTATTTATTATCAATCAAAAATAGGCATTAAGGGGTAGAGAGGATTACTAGATTGAAGAGTCATGACATTTTCATAAAAGAATTATAACACAATTCCAAGCTTGTATGCACCTAAAAACATTACTTCAAAGTATATACAAAACAATTTTAAAAAGAGAAGCCAAAAGGGAGATTTTGCCACACTTTTATGAGTAAATAATGGCTGTAGCAGGCAAATTAATATGAACAGAGAAGAACTGAATCCCACAATTAATGACCCTGATTTAGTGGATTATATAGAACAACAGCATCCAACAAGTTCAGAATTATTTTCAAGCTTTCTTTGAACATTTGTAAACAGACTCCAAGGTAAGCCATGAGGCAAATGTCAACAAATTTCGAACAGTTATTATTCTATAAACTAGATTATCTGGTCACAATGAAAGTAACCTTTCTGTGCCTCAGTGGTGTTCATAAATAAAGAAAATCATAAATATGTAAATTCTTCCCAATTTAATCTACATATTTAATACATTTTCAGTGAAAATTCCGATACATTTTTTTCTTTTGATGGAATTGATAAGCTGAATCTAAAATAGATAATAAAAAATCAAAGGGTCATGTAACCAACACATTTCTGAAGAAAAAGAATTAGGCAGGATGATCAGATATCAAGACTTACTATAAAAGATACAGTAAGCAACACCATGTGTTATTCACAGAGGAATATACATTGACCAACAAAAGAGAATAGAGAACCTCAGATTCATACACATATGAAATCTTGATATATGACTGAGATTATTTTGTAGATCACCTAGGAAAGAAGGGGCTTTTTAAACATGGTGATGACATAGTTAGTCATTTTGAATAAACAAAGAATGAAATGGATCCTCACCTCATACACTGCCACAAAACCAATTACAGAAGGATCAAAATTTAAAACTTTTAGAGGCACATGTAAAAGAATATCTTTATATCCTTGAAAATGGAAGGACTTCTAAAAAGACACATGAGGGTAAAGATTTTAAGTTAGTCTACACGAAAATTAAAAACTCCTGTCCATTTTACCATACAGTGAAAAGGCAAGCTAGAAATTTGGAAGAATATTTTCATAACATATAATTTAACAAAGGATTAGTAACCAGAAGAATCCCTACACATCTATATGAAAAAGATAACTAATCCACGGGAAAAAGGGTCAAAAGATATGAAGAAGCATTTCACGAAGAAACACAAACGCCTAATAAAGAGATAAATATATGCTCAACTGGCTACCAGGGAGGAGGAAACCTTGGTTTATAACATTTATGGGTAGAAATAACCCCATTATGGCTGATTTCAAGCTACCAACCTGATATCACTGTACATGGAGTTGAGAAGAGATGCATGCAATCAGCTCTCATGAGCTAGTGTCAGTTGGTCCCAGCATATCACTGTCTCAAAGCCATTAGTAATCAGGGAGATTCAAATTAAACTATAATGACAACACGTATTATAACTACCAGATTGATAAAAGTAAAATAAAACAAAGCATCAGCAAGCATGTGGGGTAAACAATAATTCTTATTCATTACTGGTGGGAGTACAAATTAGTTCAAATACTTTGAAGCATAAGTAGGCATTACCTAGTAAAGCCAAACTTACAATTATTCAACTTAGCAATTCTATTCCTAGCAGGTAACTATTACACATGTGGAGCAGGATACACGTACTAAAATGTTCTTAGCACCATTTATAACAGAAGAGAACAGAAACAATCGCACTGTCCATCAAATGCAGAATGGATAATTACACTGTAGTATATCCACACAATAGGGTACAAAGAAACAATGAGAAGACATGAACTAGCTAAAAACTTCAAAGAGATGAAATGCAAAAACAAAATGTTGAGTGAAGAAAAGCAGGTCAGAATCATACATAGAGTATATTTCTACATATATAAAGTTGATAAACAGGTAAAACTAAACAACATATTGTTAAGGAATATATACACAAGTACTAAAATTTTCAAGAAAATGGTTAACAATAAATCCAAGAAAGTGGTTCTCTCTGAGGGAAAGGGTGGGAGATGCAACTGGAAAGAAACACTGTGGGTCTTCAAAGGTACTAGTAATGTTTTATTTCTTACGTTGAAGGTGAATAAAAACTCCAAAAGGTAAATAAATAAATAAATAACATAAAGAAAAAGTTATAATGAAAAATAAAAGTATTGTTACAAAAAGAATCTGTTATCCTACAAATAGACACTTGAATCTTAATTCTGTAACATCTTGGTCAACGTCTCTTTAAGCAATCTCACGATTCAAAAAAAAAAAAAAAAAAGGTTTCCTTCTTTTTTTCCATTGATACTGGGTTTAGAAAATGTTGAATGTTGAGATGCTCATATTAATAGCTCTTTAAAGAGACTTTTTAAAGACTGTTTTCAGAGACAGGTTACTGGCTTAGAGTCTTGTTAAGAGAAATGGCAGGAGAACTCGATTATGATAAAAGAGAGAAAAACTGAATTAATTATATTACCAGGCAACTTAGGACAAAAATGTTTCTCAGTTAAGAGCTGGAAGAGATTACAAATAACCCAAGCTTAAAAAAAACAAAAAACAATGAATAATTTCATGTAAACTTTCTTGAAAGTTATATTATTTAAAATTAAAATATTAAACACTCTTGATTTTTCACTTCAAAAGTAACTGTAATAAATAATACTTTTGATATTGTGATAAATCTCAAAGTATTTTCATACTCAGGCTAAAGCTACATAACATAATCGCATATCTATTTTCAGAATGTAAATACTAGGTCACAAATAACAAATATGTAATATTCCTAAATATTGCTGCTTTGTCAACTAAATGTTTTCCTCTTGGCCTTGTGGTATTATCAAAGGGTGATGGGAACTTCAGCCTACTTGTGGAATTGGTTTAAGTGAACAGATGTGAGAAATTGTCTACTGACTTTTAACAGATTTCAAATTTTCTTTGGTAGTTTGCATTTCTAACATCAGTTTCATTTTCATGTGGTATATTTAAAGTATTTAACCTTTTAATGTTTAAATAAATAGTCATAAATTATTCAGATTTGCTTTATGTTCTCTTAGAAACTGATTGGATTCGAGATATAAATAACCAGTTATGTTTATAAGTGAACAAATGTATGAATATTTATTTCAATTTACTCGATTTTCTACCTTAATTCAGTAAAGTAAAAATATATATGACTATTATAGTTTTTTGAAGCCTCTTCACTGAATATAGTATGTATTATGTAAAAAAAATTGCATAAAAAACTTTGCACTGTCCAGGCGCGGTGGCTCATGCCTGTAATCCCAGCACTTTGGAAGGCCGAGGTGGGTGGATCACCTGAGGTCAGGAGGGCAGACCAGCCTGGCCAAGACGGTGAATCCCTGTCTCTACAAAAACACCCAAAAAATAGCTGGGTGTGGTGGTGGGTGTCTGTAACCCCAGCTACTTGGGAGGTTGAGGCAGCAGAATCACTTGAACCTGGGAGGCGGAGGTTGCAGTGAGCCGAGACCACGCCATTGCACTCCAGCCTGGGTGACAAGAGCAAAACTCTGTGTCAACAACAACAACAAAAAGTTCACACTGGCTTCTGAAAAAAATTCAGTATTTTGCTATTGAAATTGGAAAATCATCTATTGGAAACTATTTTAGTACACCTTACATTAAAAAAAATTCAAACTCAGTTTCTTCCCATTAATTATCTAGGCATTAGGCAAACATTCTTTCACTTTTATGCTTCCTTGAATGCTCTAATCAAAGAGCATACCCATTCCTAGACTCCCCTCCTCCCATTCCCATAAAACAAATTAGCAAGTTTAGAAACAAAAGAAAAAAACCAGTGTAATCAACTAAATGTTAAAGAGTTCCAGGACTTAATACCTGAATTGAACAATTTTGACCGATGACCTAAATAAATTTGGGGCACATGCTTTTCCATCCCAAAGCCATCTGGATAAAGGAAGGCTCAAGACCTTTACATTACCCCCATCAGGACACAGCATCCTATCATTGAATAATAGAAGACAAACACTGACCTAGTTTAGAAGAGCAGATGAAAAGAAAATGAAAACAGGATACATGACAACGGCAAGGAAACCATGGTAACTGGAAGAGATGACTGCTTTGCTTACTTTATTTTGGTCAGAATAATCAGCAAGCTGAGCCTTTAACTCTGTAATCTTGGCCTCTAACAGACGGATCACTTCTTCATAGTCCATTTCCATTCCATGTGCCTGTCTCTGCGCAGCTTCAGCAAGATGAATCCGACTACGCAGGGCTCTTGTTTCTTCAACTACAGCTTTTGCTTCCTAAAGATTTCAAAATTAATGTCATTTAAAAAATATGTAAGAAATACTTCCGAGGTTTACACAAAATATTTTTCCTGCTCTGGAAGTTACAATTCCAAAAAGTCAATATACATATTCTTTTTATTTTTCAATTTGAAAATTAATAGTTATGTTATGTTATTATATGAGGTAGTTGCCTGATCTTAGTTTTTCCTTTGTTGATTTCAGTATGGAAACTCTTGACTTCATATACCTAGCATAACATTTTGAAAATAAAGGACGTAGAAGAGAGTTGAAAATGGAAAACAGAAGAATAAGAATGGGCTCAAAAGATAAAAAGAGTAGGCTACAACAAAACTCAAGTAGGTGGTAGGACTCATTTTCTAAAAAGGCTCTTGCAGTGTCATCAGATGCTGCGGAGAGATTTGTAGTAGTGTTATGGGGCTTCTCCATGGACCAAGTTCCGGACGCCAAAGTTATCTCAGGGACATCAATCTATCTACTACTTCTCACTTTCGGTTTAAGTCAAAAGGTAGCATTTAGTAGCAAAGTACATAATTGTGTTGTTGAATGCAATGCTCACAAGACATTTATTAAACACATGTTATATCTCAGGTGCTTCACGTGTCTTTTCTTACTTAATCTTTAAAACAATATTGAGAGAAAGACATTACCAAAAAACATTTCATACACAAGCAAACAGACTCAAAGAAGTTATATGACCTGTTCAAGAACACACAGCCAGAATCTGAAACTAGGTCTGCCTGACTGCATCATTAATGCTGTCTTTCTACTGTTTTACTCTGCTTCTAAATGAAAAAACAAAAACTCCTCATACAGCTATACCCTCCACCTTAGGAAGAGGATAGGGTAGCCAAAACTACTTGCTCTCTCAAAATGTAGTTGGAGGGAAAAAAATGTACTTTGGGACTGGGTCAAAGAAAGTCCCCCAGGACACCAATATAATTTAATATGGCACTTCTTATACTGTAAACCGTTTCTTTTTATTTACTTGATGCAGAAGTCTCTTTTCTCTGCGATAGAACTTTCTGCTCCAATTGCCATGGCTAATATTAAACTATGGCTATTTTAATTTTTTCAGAGCTGTTAAGGGACATTTGCTTTTGTTTGAGCCTAAATACATTTGAAGTGCTGGGAGGGTTAGGAACACTGGCATATTCTTAAGGGTCAGTTTTTCATTCATACATTCAATACTGATTTATTAAGTATTTACTATGTGTCAGGTTCTGTTTCAGGTACTGGGGGTAGACACTAAAAGATATAGACAAAAAGCCTTCCCTCTTGCTCTTTGGAATTTACACTCTAAGTTTGGGGAGATAGGCAGTAAATCAGAGATGAGACGTAAATGTCTCATTGAGAAGATAACTGACCAGAGACCTGCAGGAGGAATGGAGTCAGGATTTCCCAAGGAGAAGCTTTCTAGGAAGAGGAAACAGTTTTCATGAAGGCCCTGAGATGGAGTTGTGCTTTACGTCTTCCAGAGAACAGTAAGGAAGCCAGTGTAGCAAAGGTACGAGTGGTAGGGTCCAGGAAGAGGGGAGTAGTAAGACATGAGGGCAGAGTGGTAACAAGAGTGAATATAGGGATGGAGGTAGAGTGAAGAGGCAGAGGCTAAGAGAATTTGTAGGCCATTGCAAGGACTTTCGTTTTACTCAGGGTGAGACAGGAAATGATTAGAGGGTTTTGAGCAGAGAATCAATGTGATCTGACTTAAATTTTAAAAATGTTACTTTTGCTGCTGTGTTGAGAATAGACTGTAGATGGTGGGCAAGGCTGGAAGCAGGGAGAAGAAAAAGGAGACAGGCAAAAAATTAACTGTAGCTTCTATAAGGGTGATAGTGGTGGAGTTGGTGTGAAGCAGTTAGATTCTAAATATAGTTTGAAGGTAAAGCCAATAGGATAGTTCATCAATAGCATTTATTTAGCAGCCACTGCATGTAGCAAATATGTTTATGACAAAAATACAAAAGGGTAAAAGATAACCTCTCCTTTTCTGTCTCAACTTAGAACATCAGGTATGACTTAGATAAATGGATGAATAAAAAAGGATGTTACAAAAGAGAACCATGTGAACAAAGGAAGAGAGACAAGAAGAAATGTGTCACACTGGGAAACAATACTAGATCAATTATGATTGGAGTAGAGACTTGCTATAGGGGAGTAATGGACAAAAAAAGGTCGTGCCAAGGGAGGGAGTCAGGCTCTGATAGAAATGGCAGGCAGGACGGGAAAGGAGCTTGAGTCTGAAGACTTGAAGGTTTCTGAGCAGAAAATGGTATGAGAAAACAGTGCTTTAGAAAGCTAAATTTGGCAGCAGGGTGCCAGGTGGAGAGATGTGGTCAACCGATTGCCTTCTATGCCCTTGACTCAAAGAACTTTATTTCCTTGTATCTGAAAGTAATTGTTTTATAATAAAAGAATACTTTTGGAAAGAAATATCTGGAAAAGATAGGTACATTAACCTAGTCTACCACATCAGTCAATTTCATTCAGATGATCAAGAGAGTCTCTAGTGACACAGCTGGATCAACTTCACACCAGACTGCTGCCGTGCATACAGGAGGTAATGGCTGGCTATGTGCCAGTACTATTCTCAATGTTTTACATCTATCATCTCAGTTTATCCACACACTGCCATGGATGTGTCTATTATTATCCTCCTATTATTATCTGCATTTTATAGACAGGACATTGATGCACAGGAAAGTTAAGTAACTAACTCAGAATCACAAACCTAATAAGTGACAGAGCTAAGATTTGGCAGTCTAGATATAAAGTTCACGTTCTTGGCTACTATGCTGTACTACCCTGCCTACTACAGAAAACATTTTTAAAAAATCACTTTTAGATGACAGTATTATCAGTGCCCAGTCCTGGATGAGCTTATGATGTGGTCATTATAATAGGTGTATTTGAAGCTGCTTCACTCTCCATTTTTCATTCAATCAAGCTAAAAAAAAAAAAAAAAAAAAAAAAAAAAAAAAAAAAAGCCTCCAAAGAGAAGGAGGAAGGGCAGAAAATTCTCTATAGCTGCAATGAAGAATAACTAATTTGATGATTTGTCTTCTTCACACTCACTTCATGCAGCTTTTATTCCTCTATAAAAACAGCACTTTTATTTTTGTTCAAAGAATGCTAGTTAATTAAATGAAGAATCTGGATGGAATTTATATAGCCATTATTGTGCACTGATGGTAATACAGTGTGAAATGTAGTTGGGTGGTAAAAGATGCAGAGGTTTTGATGTTGAATAAATTCATGCTATTTCTTTTGTAAATATATAACTGTCAGGTTGGTGAATGTGACCCCTTAGCAAAGTTCTAGCCCAGTTACCACTGAATGGCTGTTTAAAAGATTAGTGCATTGAAATGATGACTTTTAGAGGAAGCAGTAAAGAAAAGATAACAGCAGTGTGCTGTATTTAGCAATACAAGATCACATAAATCCATTTTCTCTTTTCCTCCCAGGCTGTCTTCTAATAAATAACTGTACAGCCTCCTATGTCAGTAACAATTGAGCCAGAATTTTCCTGGTACCTCACCATGAGACTGAAATCCTATCAGGGAAAATGCTGTAGTCTATTTACTGATTTACGATGTACTAGATAGAGTTCAATTCAGTTTAGCAGGTTAGATAATAAAAGAAAAACGAAGATATAGTAGTAAGTCAGAAAATCCACAAAAGCATTATGCTTTTTAATACTAAGCAGTGTGAGCAAATGTACTAGAAGGGAATCCTGAATTATGAAGTAAAATCTCTAGCTTTTTTTTATTTTTTATTTTGGCAACACTGAGGAAATGTCTTCAACTTACACTGTCCCTTGATAAAATGAGGTTTTTCTGCCTCACGATTACATAATGAATCTTTAAAGAAAATCAGACCGAAGTCTTTTTTGAAAACGTAATCTGAACTAATGAAAATCTTTGTAGGCTACCAATACTTTGGACTTTTGTTGGGACAAAGCACAGTAACAGCTCACACACAGGACAATAAATATGCTATGTGTTTTTCCACATACAGCACTTTTCCCCCACAAGGTAACATGATCTAGAATGAAAAAGCATGGGCTTTGGATAGGACATAACTAGGTTAGAATCTCAGATCAGAATCTTACTTTATAAAAATTTTCTGGCTGTGTAATTTTCTAAGACTCAGTTGCTCATTTTTATAATGGGAAATCACATCTATTTTATTAGTTCAAAACTACTCTCACAAAAGAATTGAAGAAACTACTGTAGTTCTTGGCACAATTTTTTCCTTTTCCTCTTTCTCACCTTGAAAAAAATATACATAATCACCTGTGTGATCAGAGAGCTAGACAAAATAATTTATTAAGGGTTTTCCTGAGGCACTCAATTAGTAACACCAGCTCTTGAACTTTGGAGAGTTGTTTGGAAACACAATTTGCATATGTATTTTTTAATGTTAGCAACAATCATGCAAAGCCCTTTCCTCTAGTTACGAGTTGTAATGAATGGCTCCCTACAGTAGAAGGAAAAAGCATTAATTGCAGTGGCCCATCTGTAATTAGGCTAACACATTCACATCACCAACTTTAAAAGTTCTGCAATTTTTAAGTTCATCAGTAAATCTTTCAAAATGTCAATAGGTGACAGGAGAAAAATGTGACTGCAAAGAGAAATTGTTTTTGTGCAATGTAACCTATGCTACCAAGCCCTAAAGAATACTTCTCTTATCAGCTTCCTACATCCACTCTTTGGAAAGCCCTTCTTGGTCTTGGTACTATTACAGCTTGTGAAAAAGATTAAGGGTTACTGCAGGAAAAGGGCTATTGAATTAAAATGCTTAAAAGTAAGTTATATCTAGCTTCCTTAACTTATGAGTCTGATTTGTTAAAATATATATAATATACCTATCAATGGATAATCCCAAAATGCTTTGCAGATATTGACAAATGAAGGTATAAATCACTCCTCAGGCATGAATGTGTATGGGGGAGAATATGAATTCGTAGAACTCTTTAATAAACCTCTGACATA